TGGAGGCGGTGGGGGAAGAGGAAGAGGAGGAGGAGGAGGCGGTGTGGTTGGGTGACAGCTCCCTGCAGTCCGTCAGCAGCCCTCCATTCTCCCCAGCTCTCAGGAAACGGTTCATCTCCTCCTTTCCTTGTCTCCTTTGTCGATCTCCACAATAATCAGCATTCAAGTCATTGTCAGCGCGGCAGCCGCCGCAGTGTGGCACAGGGTGCCGAGCTATAGGTGCACACATGCACAGCTGGTCAGACCTGGTCCTTCACTAACCGCAGCACAGTCTGAGTGACAGCTGGGATTTCTGACGGACAGGGAGCTCGGAGAGATTTATTCACTGGTGCCATTCATAAAGAAATATTCCCCATATAAAAGAAATAAGATACACCACAGACACACAAATGGACAAACGTTCCTATACAAAATATTGTGTTAAAATAATATGTAGCTTAATCTAGTGTATCTTCTGTAATATTCTAGATGGCGATTGTATTTTTATTTGTCTCCTACAGCAAATAATATCCTGACACAAAGCAACACATTAATTGGCCGCATGGCGGCGCTGCGGGATTGGTTTTATTGTTTAAACGTCCACTCAGGTGGAGGTGAGTGAGGGATGGACTGGTGCACCTCCGACCTGGAGTCTACAACATGCACCGACTGGGCCAGGGAGCACTAACACCCGCCACAGCACCATAGAAGAAGAAGCACACTGCCGATTTACTGTAATAAATACAGTTTATTGTGAGCGCGCTATTTCTCCTGATATAATGGAATTAAAGTGGCTTTGTGCTCATTACCAGTGATTTAACAGTGGCCTATTCTTGTCTTGTACTACTTACTCCCACATTTTACTGCAATTTCTATTAGTATTCAATAATGCATGGTTCATATAGTTCTAATAATTCTAATAGAATTCAGGAAGGTGGCCTCTATTTTTAGTTTATAATTTCACAAAAAAAAAAACATTAAATGTAAACTACTTTGCCTAAAGGGGGAATGTGTCTCCCAGCCAGATAAAACACCAGGACACAGGTCTGAGCATAAAACTGTAAACACATCATACAAATACTACATAAAAATAAATGTTTCAAGAACTCGCACACACACACACACACACACACACACACACACACACACACACACACACACACACATAAAAACGTAGCAGCCTGAAACTGGGAACCACATGGTTCCAGTAAGAGGATTTCAGCAGCCATCAAGCAAAAGGCTGGTGATGTTTATATTTTTGTTTTTGTTAACACATCGTTTAAAGAAACCAAAACTATTGCAACTATAAGGACTTTGACTCCAGACAGGTTTAGCTTTTTGGTCTGTCAAACTCCCCTGCTGTCCCACAGCTACTAAAACACACCAGTGAGCTGCACCGCTGTGCTGGCTCACGTTTCCTCGTTAGAAAAACTCTGGGCACTCTAGTTTGTCTATAAATTTCAGCAGGTAAGTGAGTCAGTAAAAGTTTATTTATGTAGCACTTTACTAAACTCGAGTTAGAACATGCTTCACAATTAGAAAAGGAAAATAACAAAATAACTACAATAATGAATACAATAAAATCTACATACAATATAAACCTTTGATACAATAATTCAAACAACAGAAACAACAAAACAAGGGCTGTGCTACTGCACAACCTGCAGGATAGCTGAGCCTTTGTATCGGTGTACTTATATGTGGGCTTGTAAACTGAGAGGGTTCTGTCTACAAACCCACAAACTCCATTCTGCAGGTTTTCACGTTCCGTGCAGATGGGAATGTATTTTCAATGTGTGTGTGCGTAAACATACAAATTAAATTGTAAACTGAATTATAAACTCCATCTGCTCCAGGACAAATTACTGTTGCCCTCTCTATACCAAAATATGAACTGAGAGATGATCATTATTTAAGAAAACCTTCTGGAGGTCCAGAAAATACATTTGTCAAATGTAGTATTTTACGTGTACTGTCTTTTTCTATGTGCGTTTGTCTTTGTGTTTATGGACCAGTGAGTGGCCACTCAGTGTGAGCCTATACACTAATTTGTGGCTGAAAGCTGTTTGAAATAGCAAAGACAGAGCGAGAGACTGACATCCTGTATAAACACAGCAAGAGAGAGCAGGACTCCATGATATGTTTGCTGTCTGTCGCTGAGGCCCAGTAACCTACAGCTGATATCAGACAGCTCAGGTTACACACACACAGAGGAAGGATAGGAGCCGGATCATATGTCCTCACTCTGTGTTTACACAAAACTAAACAAAAATTCAACAAAGCAGTTTTTGTTTCATGTGGATCTTTGCTCCAGAGTAAATAACAACGTCACACAGTACTTGTACTGTGGCAGACATTTAGATTTAATTTTAATGGGCAGTAGTTGTGTGCACCAACAACCACCAGGAGGCATCTGTACGCCTCCTGGCACTCTAGTTTACACTGCCACTACCTTTTCTGTCATTTCATTTCATGTGTTCACTGACAATAGTGATCAGAAGATGCAGTAACAATTATTACCAACCAGGCACCATGATCAACAGCCTGCAGCTCCAGAACCGCTGGGGCCCAAAAAGCCCTGGGATCACTGCTTTGGACTGGTTTTTGATAATGTGATTCACTGATAGAGAATTTGCTCAACTCAACTCACCATCAACACTTGTGAAGACCTGTCTTGTAGAACTGCTTTTTGTCAACATGTAGTTTCAAGAAGTTAATTATTTTAGCTTATATGTTGCTGATTTTCCCAGATTAAATTGTGTGTCCTAAGAAATGTATGACCAACAATGTAAAAATGGCCACAGAGAGAACTTTACCAAAATATTATATTTGCCGTTAAAAATGCAACATTAAATTGCTGTATTTTTCAAAGGAGTCTGGTTACTTTGTTTGTGCAACACAGACTTGTGGTGTATCACATTCTCCACTTACCTACTGAAATTCCACGTAAACATAGCAGTAGTTCATTGAACTGTCACTGTAGAGGACTGCAGTGGTGAGGTGACAGCAGGTGTTTTCGCCACCTGTCCCCTCTGTCCTGCATTCATCTGTAAAACAAATAAACAATAACATTTTAAATCAGTATAGGAGAAACTATAGAGTGTAAAGCAATGTAGAAGAGAAGAAAAATGAAACGTCACTCTTTAAACAAAGCTGGGTAGAATGTCACTGGTCAGTGGTTTAAATGCGCACACACACGCACACACACGCACACACACGCACCACCCTGTCCCGCAGCCTGATTGGCTGTGACATGTGAGGCCAGGAGGCCCAGCAGACACTCCCACAGGCAGGTGAAGGAGCAGGCAGTCGGGCTGCGGGTCAGTTCACCCCTCAGCGCTCACGGCAGCAGATAGGACAGCAGGACTGCAGGCGTGGGGAAAAAACAGTTGAGCGTGATGGCAGAACAGTGTGCGAACCAGCAGACACCACAAGAGGACGCCAGGAAGTGTTACAGAGGAACCGCAAGGCATGAGGAGCAGGATTATCAGTGAGTGTGTGACTGCACAGAGAACATGTCTACTGTAGATCATATGTATGCACACTGTGGAGGGTGGTATCAGTAGTGCTAGTGATAGTTCAGTTAGTAAAAGTAATAGGGGCCAAAGTAGCACTAGTATCTCCAATTGCACTGAGACAAAGAGTCAATTAATTGATTATTAATTGATTAGAAAATTACAGTATTTATCAGTGGTGGAAGAAGTACTCAGATTGTTTACTAAACTAAAACTATCAATAGTGTAACTGTAAAAATACTCTGCTACAAGTAAGTGTCCTGTGGTCAAAATGTTACTTAAGTAAAAGTACAAAAGTAGCATATAATATTATTGTATAATAATCACTGATGCATTTTTGTGTACATCACCTTAATGTTGCAGCTGGCACGTGGACCTAATGTTACCTATCTTATATACTTACAATGTAATAATACTTTACATACTGCTGGGTAGCTGATGAGTTTCCCACTGAGGAGCAACAGAGTCTGATGATTCCACTGGATTTAGTTTTATTAATTTTATTCTGAAAGTAACTAAAGTTATCAAATACATACAGTGAGCACAGAGTACAATGTTTTTCTCTGAAATGTAGTGAAAGTTGTCCTTAAATAAATGTACTTGGTAACTTTCCACCTCTGGTGTTCGTCACGTCATTATCATGTGTTTTCTTGTTCAAGCTGCCACATGTTGAGGATCTGCTGCTTGTTTTGTCGTGTCTCTTTCTGTAAACTGCTTCAATCTGAATTTTGTGTTGGACAAAACAAACAAACTGTCACAATGACACCTTTGTTTTTCTATCAGTAATGACAGCAGCTGCCACTTGACTCCAACTGATAAATTGATTGATATTAGCTTATCAAAGATCAAATTAATTCTTATCAGTGAATACTGCTGACTGACTAAACAACAGACATTATCGTGCTTTGACCAAAACAGATATTTTGGTCAAAAGCTACTTGTTTAATTTGTGTATTATGGGACCATTTTAAGTTTTGTACCACAGTTAGCTTAAAGCTAAGAACAAAAGCATAGTTACAGGACAAGGCATGGTGTTTGTTAAATCAAAATCCAGGGAAGTTGTTTACAAAGCAAAAAAAGACAGAGTAAGTGGTTGTAGAGCTGAGCAGCTTTTAGCAAAATGTTAAGTTTCACTTTAAAGTTTTAATCCTGTGGTAAACTTCAAATAACATATCTTCGCTTTTTCTAGCAAGATGCATACAATTTATCATTTCGTGCCACGGGCGCTCCACTGATTGTACACATGAAGATACTCTCAGCTCATGCAAACAGTCGCTCTCTCTCTCTCTCTCTCTCTCTCTCTCTCTCCTATGGTCAGGGCCGGATTAACCCTCTATAGGGCTCCAGGGCAAAAATGAGCTGCTGGACCCCAACTAATCCCCTGTGTACTGTCCAAGCACCTCATTAGTTAGTAATAAGGAACCTCTCTGTGGTGTCATGATTAAGCACAACTTTATTTCATAAAAAGCTGCATACACAACATACAATAAGGACCTTAAACTACATTTTAACCCGAGCGGTGACTACACCATGGAGCCTCATAATGTGGTGGGCAGTACTGCTAGTACCTTTTTAAGGTCCCATGGTGCATTTTCTGTAATGTACAGGTGCATCTCAATAAATTTGAATATCATGGAAAAGTCCATTTATTTCAGTAATTCAACTCAAATAGTGAAACTCACGTATTATATACTGTAAATTCAGTCCACACAGACTGAAGTAGTTTAAGCCGTTGGGTCTTTTAATTGTGATGATTTTGGCCCACATTTAACAAAAACTCACCAAATCACTATCTCAATAAATTAGAATACCTCATAAGACCTATAAAAA